TTTTCCTTGTAAATTTGATCATTTTCTACAATATATATATATATAAAAGAAATTGAATTAATAAAATAAAATGAAGATAGAAAAATAATTAAAAGAAAGCAAGTACGTATATATATAAGTAAAGTTTAGGATTCATCCAATTTTTCATAATAACCTACCCAAAAAAAAAAAAAAGATTAGTAAAACAAGAAAAAATAAAATTAAATCCAATTACTATCATAAATTAGTAACATAAAAACAAAATTTAAAATTTTAAAAATAGATATACAAAATGTAGTGAAGAAGTATAAAGAAAAGTGGAAGAAATAAGAGGGACGAGAAGGGAACAAAACTAGAAGAAAAAGGAGGAGTAGAGAAAAATGATAGGAACAAGGGAAAAAAAGGAGAGGAAGAAGGGAACAAAGGGATGAGAAGAAAGAGGCAACACAAAGATGAGGGGAAGAAGAGAAAATAGGAGTATGAGAGAAAGAAGAGCAGGTAACTAGAAAACAAACAGGGAAGAGGAGAAGGATAGCATAGAAAAGGCAGAGAAGAAAATTTTGGGGAAGAGGTAGCAAACACCGAAATATATAAGAGAACTTATTTCAAACAGTATGTGGTTCAAAATAAGTGAAATTTTATTCTACAGTGCCAAATGTGAAATTTGAATGCAGGGGAAATTTTTGGCGGTTTAATATTTCATACTACTATTGGTATGAATATTGCAAAAAATTTAAATTTTCCATTCAAAATTTTTGATAGAAAAGGCGATAAATATATATGGACCAATTGCGGTCTATATATCTATCAAATAAAAAAACACTTTGAGTAAACATAAAAGATTGAAAAGATTTTAAAAAATAGTAGTAAATATATATGGATCATTGCCTATTCGAATAACTTGGCCAGACCGACAATGGTCCAAATATGGTCGCCCAAAATCCTTTATTTCTCCCAACACCTCAAACTATGCTCAATTCGTTTTACTCTCATTTTGAACCATAGGATTTGAAAAGCCTAAATACCAAAAGGCCTAACCTTAAACCTAATAATCTTGAGTTTACACGTTTGTGGTTTTGCAACGATATGGCATAACTTTAAAATTAACAACCTCAAGCCCACGCATTTGTGGTTTTGCAATGATGTGGCCTTACGCCACTATTAACTAATTTTAGGAGACTAACTGAGGGCACCTGAGTCAAGGGGAACTATAGTAGTGAAGTGGATGCAATTGGGCTTGGTAGATTTGAAATCGAGGCATGAGAAGGTGGTGTTATCTTTAAATGAAAAGAATAAAAATGTATGAGAAGAGATGCTTCTAGATTTTGGGTAATTTTCTCAAACCACTATTGGTCCGAATAACTTTTCTAAACTGACAGTGGTCCAAATATGGTTGTCTAGAATCATTTTTTTCCCTCAACACCTCAAAAACAATGCCCGATTCATTTTACTCTTGTTTTAAACCATAGGATTTGAAATGCTTGAATACCAAAGAGCCTAACCTCAATCCTAATAATCTTAAGTCTATGTGTTTGTGGTTTTGCAACAATGTAACATAACCTTAAAGTTAATAACTTTAAGCCCACACGTTTGCGGTTATGCAATGATATGGCTTTACACCATCGTTAACCGATTTTAGGTGACTAACCAAGGGTATTGGGGTTCAAGGGAACTATAGTAGTGAAGTGGATGCAGTTGGTTTTGGTAGATTCAAAATCAGGGTATGGGAGGGTGTATTGTCCTTAAATGAAAAGAATAAAAACATATGAGCGGAGAAGTTTCTAGATTCTAGGCAATTTTTTCAAACCATTGCCTATCTGAATAACTTGTCTGGACCAGTAGTGGTTCGAATATGGTTGCCTAGAATCCTATTTTTCTCTCGACACCTCAAATTGTGTCTGATTTGTTTTACTCTAATTTTAAACCACAAAATTTGAAAGTCTTGAATATCAAAGAGTTTAAACTTTTTCATAACATAAAATTTTACACCCTT